GGTTCTACTAATTTTCAACCATTGGTTTTCTTTAAATTAATATCAACTTTTTTGTTAATGCGATGATAAAAAAAATATTATTTTTAACGATATTAAGATCATTAAGGTTTATTTTTTTCATCAAAATAATTATCAAAATATCTCACCCATTTATGTTGAATATCTTTCTCTAAGAAAAATACTTCTTCATTTTCATCTTTAATACACTTTTACTTGAATTAAATCTTTATTTTTCTTTTCTCTTTGTTTGGTTAGTTGATACATATTTCTTTCACCCTCTTTAGTATCTAATCTATCATAAAAGTCACTAAAAACAGAATTTTTATTATCACATACTATTCTATTAGACTATGTACCTGTTATCTTATATTTTTTTCAATTATCTAAGTTTTTTACATTTAAATCAATTTATATTAAAAAAACTTTTTATAATTTATCTTTTCTTGCATGTTATTATTTCATCACCAATTATTTATATTTATGAAAACTTTTTCTTTTGATTCTCCAAGTAAATTCTTTGTCACTTGTTTAATAGTACTTGTTACTTTATCCCGCATAAAATTAGCTTCTTCATAAAATTCCAATCTTAAAAATTTGAAGTTTACTCATAAAAATAATTTTATTTGTATCTTTTATATGCTCCAATTGAATTTTATGATAATTTTCTATTGTAATCCATAATTAAGAATCGATTTTGTGCACTTAAATTTTTGCTGGGAATGATCTTACAATGTTTACTCTCTCGATCTTTTTCTCATAAGAAAATAATCAAATTGTGTTTTATTAGATCCATTCTTATATGTAATGTAATAAGTAATAATAATATGCTCATCTCTTTTTTTAAATAAAATATTAGCAATAGTAAAATTATAATCTAAAACAAAATCTATTATGGTTTTACGTTTTTCATTAATCACTCAAAAATCGCAGCCACCATGCATATTTCTAAAATTTTCTGACTCTTACCATTATGTTCATTTAAATCTTCTCTAAAAAAATTCTTATTTCAAGAGGTATTATTTTTATTAATTCTTCTAGGTCATTCCAAAAATATTCTTTTGAACCTGTATCTAAACATTTACTTGAGGAGCATAAACACCAATAACATTGAAAATCTTAGTATCAACAACAATCTTTATGACTATAATTCTATCTCAAATTCTTTAAGTTTATAATAATATGCTAATTTCTTTTCTTAAATAAAATATTAGCAATAATAAAATCATAATCTAAAACAAATCTAATATGGTTCCACATTTTTCATTAATCACTCAAAAATAGTAGTGACCATACATATTTCTAAAATTTTCTGACTCTACCATCATGTTCATTTAAATCTTCTCTAAAAAAATTCTTTTTTCAAGAGTTTTTATTTGTATTAATTATTCTAGGTCATTTCAAAAAATTTTCTTTGGAACTTATATCTAAACCTACTTGAGGAGCATAAACACCTATAACATTGAAAATCTTAGTATCAACAACAATCTTTATGACTATAATTCTCTCAAATTCTATTAGTTTATAATAATATGCTCTTCTTTTTTCTTAAATAAAATACCAGCAATAATGAAATCATAATCTAAAACAAAATCTAATATGGTTCTACATTTTTCATTAATCACTCAAAAATCGCAGCCACTATGCAAATTACTAAAATTTTCTATGACTCTTCCATCATGTTCATTTAAATATTCTCTAAAAATATTCTTTTTTCAAGAGGTATTATTTGTATTAATTCTTCTAGGTCATTTCAAAAATTTTCTTTTGAAGTTATATCTAAACCTATTTGAGGAGTATAAACACCTATAATATTGAAAATTTTAGTATCAACAACAATCTTTATCATTATAATTCTATCTCAAATTCTATTAGTTTTGACAACATTATCTTTCAAACTCTTATCTATAATTATACCAACACCATTTCTAGTGTCTCTTATCTGAAAATCAAAGTTTAAATCCTTAAGTTATCAGTTTCTTTAGTTTTATCTTCAACTCATTTAATTTCTTGAATTGATAAGATATTTGTCTTCTTATGAATCATAATATCTACTAATTTAATTAATTTATCTGTAGAGTACCTGTATTCTAAGATTTCATCATGCTATTAATTTTATGGATTAACTTCTTTGCCCGTAATAGTCCATAATGTGAGAACCTTATTGGGCGCCGGTGTATCAACCACTGCACATTTTTCATTGTAATTAGGTCATACAACGCATCACTTCCAAGAGATGCTCTATCATTTACATAATGATTTAAAGGAGTCATCTCATAATTTATCAACAAAAAATTTACGTTGATTGTCAACTACCTAACACAACCCTCCAATTTTGACATCTAGGGCTTTAGACCGGGCAATGATAGTGTTCAATAACATGTCCAAAATCGTAGCTGCCATGAATATTTATAAAATTTTTTATCACTCTACTAACATGTCCATTTGAATCTTCTCCAATAAAAATATTTTCTTCAAGAAGTCTTCTTGTATTAATTCTTTCAAGCCATTTCAAAAAATTTTCTTTTGAATATAAATCTAAATCTACTTTAGGAGCATAACTATTTATAATATTTTGAATCTAAGTATCAACAACAATCTTTAGGGTTATAATCCTATCTCCAAATTTATTAATTTTTAAAATATCAATGTTTAGGGTTATAATTCAATCTCCAAATCTATTAATTTTTAAAATATTAACTTTCAAACTCTTATTTATAATTATAGTTGCAACATTTCTTGTATGACTCCTACATGATTATCAAAGTTTAAAACTTAAGTTATCAATCTTCTTAGCATTTTCTTAAACTCATTTATTTTCTTGAATGAATAACATATTTATCTTTTTATAAATCATCATATGTACTAATTCCATTAATTTACCTATTAGAGTATTTATATTTTAAGTTTCTATCTTAATATTAGTTTTATAGACTAACTTTTTTGCCCGCATCCATCCATAATGTGAGAATTCTTGTTTATTTAACATTATACTTGAGTGCTAGTGTAGTATCATTGCACAGTTTTTATTGTATTTAAGCCATACAACACGCTGTTTCTAGGGGACAATTTAGCATTTACACAATGATTAAAAGGATTTATGTTATGATTTTTGACAAAATAAAAAGAAAAAATTGAGAAGGCTAGGAATATGACTTGACCCTTATATGTCAGAGTGAACTATGTAAGAAGGGAAACTTTTATATGGGGATGTGGAGGAGGGAAATGATATACGATGAAGTTTACCCTAACATTTACACAATGATTTAAAAGATTCGTTTCATGATTTTTTTGATATAAAAAAAAAAAATTGAGATGGATAGCAATGTAATTTGGCCCTTATATGTCAGAGTGAACCATGTGAGAAGAGAAACTTTTTTATGAAGATGTGGATTAGGGAAATGATATATGACGATGTTTGCCATACTCATTGGCAAGACGCCCATGTTTCGAAATGGACAATAAAGCATCAGTAAAACTTTGAAGATGACAAGGAAAATGAGCCAAACACCTTGTCATTGATAAGGAAAATATTATATAAGGTAGCGGGATCAATAAGTTTGAGATAATAAGAACTGTTAGTTTCAAAACTTTCAATTGTCTTCATTATACTGAGATCCTAAAAAATATAGTAAGTAGGATAAAACATTGTCGAGTAATTGATGATTTTTATACAATACATAGATAAAAGGTGCGCATAAACAATCTTATAGAATTGTTTGAAGTTAAAGAGTAGGAAATATGGACAGATAAATCCTTTTCTTGAGGCCAATGAAAGAAAGCGATCAATAACAATAGTATGTGGGAGAAAATTTATTGAAAGAGAGAAGATTAATTGTCAGTCAACTATCGTATGTGAGGAATCACCCAAGTCTAAACCCAGGATGTACCAATAGGTACAAAATTTATGAGATTGCATGAAGGGCTGAGACAGATGACTATTTTTGTTAAATCGACCATAATCTTATCGAGAGAGAATAATAAATCTAAAGGATGCAACGCCATTTGGAGGAGTGGGTTGGATATTGACTTGTACCGAGTCGTGGAGGGATAGAATTTGTTTGACTGCAACGTTGACAGGGAAGGAGAATTTTATGACCATGATCAAGCCCACCGCCAAGAAGTCTGCTAAATTTTTTATTCCCTTGACCATCTCTAGAATTATTAACCAACCCGAGCACCTCAAGTATTATTAACCTAGGCGGCTTGGTCAAGACTACGAAGCAGAGACAAGTAGAGTTTTGTGACATTGAATTCAAGTGAGAGTAGCCACAATATTAGAAGCTGTAAAGTCAACTATCCATTGAAATTGTACACTTTACAAAGAAGGATGGAGGCTAGGGGAAAAAATGCTGACGAGGAATTCTTCCTTTTAGTTTTGTCATGAATAATTGGATTAGTAGTAAGGGATGGTATATAACTCATCTTATTTGTCACACAAGGTGCTTTTGTATTCTTGGATTAAATTGTTGTTTTAATGAAGTTAAAATATCTTAAAATAGAGAGCAGATGTGAGAGAAATTTGTTTTCAAAAAGTATATGGAGCGATCAAAATACTACAGTTTCTTGACACAGTCTTGAACAATCATTATTGCAACAATGGAATTTTAAAGATTATTGAGAAACCATGTAAGAACAACATATTAAGAAGCTTTTCATTTTGAAAACTTGATGTTGTTGGAGTTTGAGGAGAGACACCAAGGTGGTGGAGTTTGTCATGTGAATCGACTAGGGAGAAAAAGGCCCTCAACCATTGGAGATAAGTATTGCCCTCAACCATTGGAGATAAGTATTGCCAATGGTTTACACTTAAGTTAATTTGTTGCAATAACAGTCTTTCACTATAATTTCTCTTCATGATGGCATCATCTGCTGTACATTTTTGATTGCATCAAAGAGATGAATTCTCAACAGGTGGTCTCCATAATTTTTCTAGACAGTTTATGCTTTATTTGCATTCTATTATATTTAGTCCACTCACTCTTTTGAAGTGTATAATGCAGGTCTAGTTTACTGCATGGATTACTTGGAAAAATATATTGATTGGCTATTATTCAAGTTGAAACCTCTTCTCAAAGGTAGTAATTTTTGACCTTCTATATTGTATGATTTGCTGGTGAGCTAGGATTGTATCATAATGTACTGCTAGCTTTCAATTTTAATGTATAGATTATTTCACTTGTACAACAATGTGACAATATTTGTATATGAATTCAAATTTTTGGGTGGTTTTGATATTTAATATGCAACTATATGGAGCAAACTGTAGGGCATTTCAACTGTATGGCTACTATAGAGGTAAATAAAGAAATTTAACAAGAATTTAAACGACTGCAGAGCCCTACCTGCAAATGCAAAGAACCATTTATGAGGTTATCCTTATATTTCGTTATAGCCATTGCTAGGTCTCGATCTTTTGTTGGGCTACTGACAATCAATGATTGCAGGTCAAAACTGAGAACAACTAAATATGAATACATAGAGGATAAATTGTGTAAAGAAAAATGGAACAAAAATTAAAGTGATGAGACACATTAATAAATGTTCTTTTCAAAATTTCATACTTGGTTTTAATGTTTTTGTATATATGAGGAAGATGAGTTTAGTTCTTCTAGAGAGAGTTTTTGATATAATATAAAATTGGGTAAATAGAAGGAGACGAACCTAAACCAAATTTACTGGTGACTAGCTATGGATTCTCCATGAACACCCAAAATCTAATTGGAAGGTCCACACAATTTTACTGCATGTTGCCTAATTGCAGGAACATAAGCAATGTTTAATATAAAGCACTATAAGTGTATTTGTCAATTTTCCATGCACAGTACTATATGTTTGGATGATAAGGGGTAGAAATGAGCTTTCGGTGTAGTGAACATGGCTTTTTCTTTCTATAGGACATTAGAATGTATTTTAGGTTCCGCATAATAATAATATTGATTAAATTTTCACCAACCAAACTATACTCTGGTCACTATCAAGTTCCACACAACTTATGCTTCCCTTTAAATATTCCAAAACTACATGCAAAGAAGAATATCCTTAAACATCACAACTATAAGCTCAATACAACAACAACAACAACAAAGCCTTAATTCCACTACGTGGGGTCGGCTACATGAATCCTTTTTCTTCATTGCGTCCTATTTAGTGTCATATTTTCATTTAGTTCTAGTAAATTAAGATCATTTTTAATACAATAAGCCCAATTCTTCCTAGGTCTACCTCTGCCTTTCTTAACACTAGTCGAATTTAAAACATCTACTCTCCTAATCGGATCATCTAATGGTCGACGTTTAATATGACCAAACCATCTAAGACGACTTTCTCTAATTTTGTCTGTCACAGGAGCTACACCAACCCTATCACAAATATATTCATTTGGCATTGTCTCTAAGTGTAAAACCACTCATCTACCTAATCATTCTCATCTCGGCAACACTTAATTTATTAATATGCTTCTCTTTTAAAGGCCAACATTCAACGCCATAGAGCATTGCAGGTCTCACCACCGTCTTATAAAATTTTTCTTTCAGTCTAAGCGGTACTTTTCTATCACACAAAAGGCCCGAAGCATTCTTCCACTTCAATCAACCAACTTAAATTCTACTATTAACATCTCTATTTATATCACCATCGCTTTGAACAACAGACGCAAAATATCTAAAACATTCACACCTTTTAATAATTTGATCACCCAAAGTCACACTTCTGTCACTAGAGCTACTACTACTAAAATTACATTCCATGTATTCAGTTTTAGTTCTACTTAAACGAAGGCCTTTAGACACCAATGTAGACCTCCATAATTCAAGTTTTTCCTGGGCTTTTTCTCTCGTTTTATCCAC